GAGGTGACTCTGAAGGCTGGAATCACGAGGAACATCATCTTCCTATCTGCTCGCTGATGGAAATTTCCAATTCCAGCTCAGCCGGCACCCTGAGCTCACAGTTAATGGGCTACCTAATGGCGAAATTTAATTTTAATCCGTCATTTTCTTCCACAGAGAGGGGGACTGGATACCCTGTCTTGCTTGGGGGTAAATGGGTCTTCTTCGCCTGCAGCTACAAGATGAACACGTGCTCCCAGCTTCCTTCGGGAGGTGCCCCTCCCAGCTCTAGGAGGACAGGGACTGTCGAGAAAGATGCCCCAAGGCAAAGCTGGGGGTGTGAGGGGCACTGTGGAGGACACAGGCAGGCAGAGAGGACCAGGAGGAAGGGCCGGCCCGCTGTCGGGCCTGTGGTTTCCATGCCCTGCTGAACCGGGGCACACACGAGCTCCCACCTTCCCAGACGCCCAGCCCCCAGAGCTCCACCAGAAGCGGAAGTGCCACATCCCGCAGCTCCTCCAGGCCCCCGCCCCCCGCAATCTACAGCTGCCCATGCCTGCCCACCTCCCTGAGTGAATTTGGAGCCCACTCTGCTGCTGAGGCCGCTTCTGCGTGCGTTCCGAAGACCTTATCCACCTTAGGGCACCGTGTCAAGTGTCAGGCAAGCAACACACTTCCACACAAAGAATGTAATAAAAGCTGATGGGAGAATTCCAGATTGTTCTGGCATCAAGAGGCAGATTGACTCATGTGCTTCCTTCCTGGCTAAGGACCGAGGGAAGGGAAGGCCAAGTGCGGCTGTGGGCCAGCTCCCTGTGTGGCAGGGAGCCCCGGCCTGCCCCATGCCCTGCTCTGACGGCACGCAGCACTGGGAAGCTGGGCGCCAGCTGCCAGACAGTCTGGACGGGTCCGTCCGATACCTGGGTCCAAGCCGGGGAGAGGAGGGAGCAGAATTGCTAGTTTTCTTTTACAGGACTGCTGTTGACAAGCCACTGTAAACAGGGGGTTTACCATTTAGAACCCGACTTGGGAAAGCTCACCTGGCAACCTGACTCGAGCGTGCGGAGCAGTGGAAATGCAGAGGGTGAGGGCCTGCCGGGGGTGGAGGAGCACACATCACAGCTCGTTCCAGGCCTCTCCTGCGACGCTGAGCTGGCTCCCACCCGCCTGCCTGCCCGAAGCCCTTCACTAAGCACTGGAGACACGAAACCCAAGGGCCAGGCAGCATGGACTCAGTGTGCGGGACGCCAGGAAGCTCTCACAAACTCAACCTGGCGCACTGGCCACAGGACCTCCCCACAAAGCAGCTGAGTCGGGGTCAGGGGTGTTCCAAAGGGAGGGACCGAGCCTCATGTGCAGACACCCAGAAACGCCAAGGCTGGAACCAGCCCTGTCCACCCACCCAGCAGGCCGGGTCACAAGTAAGGGAAAGCCAAAGATAAAAGGGAAGGCTTCAGAGATCCAGTCACTGCCCAGGCTCCGCCCGAAACTCCAAAGAGCAGAAGGCGCAGCCAGGACATTTCTAGTGAGCAAACACGGCGTCTCCTCGAGGGAAAGCCATACCCAGCCTCTGCCACAACCCCGCCTGCCTCCCTGAAGACAGGAATGGGGCTTTGTGAAGGAGACCCGGGTGTTTGTATGAACAGTTCGGGATGTACACGTGGACCGGCGGGAACAGGACAGGGCCATGCAGGCGTCTCTGTGCTGAGTTTCTTACCCCCCGTGAGCCCACGCTGAGACGCCCCTCCCCTCCTCCTCACAAGGCACCAAGACCCCACAAGGAACCTGGCAGTATCCATCATACAGACCCCCTTCCCAGGACGTAAGTGGCTGCAGAAAAGAGAAATTTCTCTTCAGCCACTGCAGAAACAACATTCATGCCCGTGGAAAACGACGCTGTGGCAGGGCAAGCCACTACCTCTGCAGGGCTGCTTTGAGAATTCGGCTACAGGCCATTCCCTTCCCTGGCTGGGGGACACTGCTCCTGGGACTTGGGCTGGGTTCTGAGAAGGTTCTGGGAGGCCCTGGTGGAAGGGATGCCAAGTCACCTCAGATGTCTGGGAAGCCATGGAAAGGCATTACCATGGTAACCACTCTCTGCTCTGCTGAAACAGAGCTATAGCCTTTGCAGAAGCCTCTGTTGGTCAAGGTTCAGTGTCAGGGAGACAGGACAGGACTTAGGTTATCTGAGGAGTGCACGTGCCCAGGGGCAAATATATAAACTGTATATGCAAATATGAAAGCTGTGGCGACAGCGAGGGGTGAGGTCCTTGAAGAGCTTCCAGAAAAGCCCTCATCTGGCTCCCTGCTGGGCTGAGCCCCTGGACACAGAGTCCGTTCTGCTGCCTGGCTCAGGAAGGTGGGACCCTGACTATTCCCAGCAAAGTGACGGGAACGTTGAATTCTCTGGTGCCCTTAATGAGGGAGGAAGACAGAGCTGGGGCTCGAGAACACATGGGCCAGAAAAAGTGCTACCTAGATCTCAGCATGTGCACCAAAGGCCAGAGGAGGGGAGAGTGTGACCGTTCCCCTGAGCGGGAGGAAGGGGGAGGAAATGCATGTGACTAGCTCCAGGAAAGGGGGACAACAGAAGACAGAGGGGACGGAGAGGGATGAGCAGGTACCGTGTATGTTTCAGAGAGAAATAATTAAACAGTTCAAGAAGTGACACCAGTAAAAGCAATGGGTGGATCACAACTCTGAACCCATCACGTAAGCGTGGACCCCAGAACCTGGGGGTCCCCAGGGCTCCCCACACTGTACCCAGCCTAAGGCTCCGGGGCTGTTTAGGCTTCCCCTGACACCAGCACCACAGCCACCACCATCATGTGTCAAAGGGACCAGAAAGAACAAGACGGATGACAACCCTCCAGTCCATCACCACTGCCTTGAACCTGGGGAGAGACAGCCGGGCTGTGGGCAGAGGGCGGGTGTGCAATGCTTCTTGTAAAATGCACCTCCCCCTCCACGGCACCAACACACCTGCCTGGTTGCCAGGCACATCGGCACAGGTGTGTGTGCGTATGTGCGCATGTAACAACCTCATCTGGACAACCAGCCTGGACTCATTCACCGCTGACTATTTCCTTACGTTACCCAGCAACACCCACTGTGCTCTGATATTCAGATTCAGGATGTGATGGGAGAAGGAAAAGGTGAAGAAGGGAATTCACGGCCCTGTGCTAAGCGCTGCTCACACCAGTCTACCTCCACGTCAGAGAGGAGACACTGAGGTTAAGAGGGTCACTGTCTTGCTCTGTGGCTCGGGAACACGGAAGGGTCGACCTTTGAACCGGGTGTGCCTGGCTCCCCAGCCCCCAGCCTTCCTCCTGCTTCTCCCTGCTGCCCCCAGGGGGCACTGTGCGTGGTAAAGAGGGGGCAGGTTCTTTCGTCTGGGCTTCTTCACTTGTTCAAAGAGACATTATTCACTGAGATCGAAGTGAGAGAGAAGAACAGTGTGGCAAGCAATGTATGCAAATAAATTGATGAAATGAGAAGGGAACTTGACCTTTTCAAAACCCGAGGGTATTATTTATGGCTAACAAAACAGCGGGCCCCCTGAGGACAAAGGCAGAATGCTTGCATGCATCTCTCCAAGGAGGAGGAGGAGCAGGAGCTGGCAGTCCCCATGACGGAGCCAGAGTCGCCTTTATTTTTATCCTCCTGTGAGAATCCCTGACAGGCCCACTGAGAAATACTGTGCGTCTGTGACATTTCCCCTGGTCTAGCTCAGCCACGTGCACCAGGAGGCTTTCTCATTACGAGAGGTGATTACACTTGACTCTCACAGGGTTAATTCACAGGTGCACTTGGGGACAAGGGACAAGGAATGGTCCTGATCACTGGCCCAGCTCAGGGTCACGGGCCACACTGCCTCTACCAGCTCTTCTTTGGAGGTCCCCAGGGCTGGGGCAGCGACGGACCCAGGCCACTCCCAGGCTCTGGGAGAATTCCACAGCTGGGGACCTTTCCTCTGTCCACATGTCCCTCAGCCACGCGGGGGGACATTCCTCCTTAACCCTCACCCCGCATTGTCTCTGCCAGCATGGGCAGAGGGGGGAGCCGCGACAGGTGAGCCCTTGCTGACACTGCAGCGCAGGATGGTCACACCTGTGGAACCTTGTTGTTTTCCTTTGGTCGTTGCCATCAGTGACAGCAGCTCCCCAAAGCCTCTCTCTGTCCCTTCACACCACGCAGCCCACCTTGCTTAGGAGACCGGGCTCCCCCTTGTCCTCAGAGAGGCTGGAGGGGGCCCTACTGCGCCACCTGGAGGGGGTGAAGTGGCTTTGGAAGTGGAACAAGGTGCAGACCAAGCCCAGATGCTGTCACTCACACCAGCCTAGGGACAGGCCCCGACAATGAGCCTGTGCCTGAGGGACACCCTGGAGGGCTGGGAAAGCCCTTTCTATGACTGCATTCCAGAGGAAACGTTAGAATGTGTTTCTGAAAAAACACGATTTCCCCGAAGGTAAAGAGCCCGATTCTAAGGCTGTCTTCCTGAGGGTGCTATGCAGGAAGGCTGGGAAAAGCTTTTCTGCGGGAGTTAAACATGGTAACACGGCCCTGGGGTCCCCGGAAAGGATCCGGAGTCCCCCTGCTCGGGGGCAGAGAACCCCTCCAGGCTGACCTCTGCTCTGCCCTCGGCACATTTCCTTCCAGCTGCTCCTTTGTTTGACAGAATCGAGCAGGGAAAGAGGGCACCAGCCAGGCTGGGTCCCTCCCTAAGCCCGGGGAGGCCCTGCCCGCACAGGTGGGCACCTGCCCCCGCTTACTCATCTCCAAGAAAAAGACTCCAGGCCTCTGACTTCTCCCTAGTGGCTCTCCCTGCTCCTCCTTCACCCAGGGCACGTGAGCTGAAGCTGAGGGGCCCGCAGGAGCTCTGAGGGCCCCCGGGGAGGGGATTCCTGGGCGCCACTCGGCAGGAATCATTTCTCAGGAAGGCCCTGTGGACAACCTCCAATTGGCCAGGGTCTCGGGAAGGAGGGAGGAAAGGGAACCCGACAGCAAGGGGAGCGACTTACGCCAGAGCGAAGGCCACCAGTGCACCGACCACCACCACGAAGTCCAGGATGTTCCACAGGTCTCGGAAGTAGGACCCGTCCTGCAGAATCAAGCCCTGGTCTATCATCTGCAGAGAAAGGGAATGGCCAGCGGTGAGCCCAGGAGGTGTGGGTGGTGTGTGCCCTGAGTTTGGGGCTCCCCATGGCAATGTCCTCACTACTCCCATCGTCCCCATGACCAACCCTGCAGGGAGGGGTCCTGAGGAGCAGCCAACGGGCTCTTTTCACGAGACGGTGAAGCCTGAGGCCCCTTCCCCTAGTCACCAGGGTTCAACCAGGCTGCTCAGCCACCCCAGAACCCTGCCACATTCCTCCGTCCATCCGTGGCTCAGAGCACCGCGCAACACACACACACACACACACACACGCGCGCACACACACACAGTGAGCGATAGAGACAGACAGACAGACATGGGGAAAACCCCAGAGGAGTAAGACTGGGCAAACGTGGGTGTCCGGGTGATGTGGACGGACCAGAGGGCAGCGATGCAGCTGGGGCTGGACAGACCCAGGAACTCGGCCCTGCCTAAGTTAACCCTTTGCCTCTGCACAAACCCAGGCTCACACCAGGGAGCACGCTGGGGGGGTGGCTGCTGTCCCCAAGTCTGTCTGCATTGCCCCTGCCTTCAGACAGTGGGCCTGGCTCCTCCTCCGGCCACACCCACAGGCCCGCCCCAGTCTAAACAGATCCGCATAGTCACGTGGGGCCACCACAGACTTCCTCATGACCATGAGGCCAGAGGAGAGGTTCTGTCATTGGCCAGTCAGTGACAGCTTGGGAAAGGGCATTACACCCTGAGGAGCAGACAGCTGACCCACCCAAACCCCACCCAGGTTTTCCCAAAAGACTTTTACCTTAATGACCATCTCGAAGGTGAACACACCGGTGAAAACGTAGTCGAAATACCTCAGGACCTGTGAGACACACACAGCGGAGGTACAGAGGTTATGTGAGCCTCCAGGCCCTGCACACGTCTGCCCACACACGGAGACACACGGAGACACGAAGCCCTGCCCACCCACCCAGCCCCCGCTCATTGCTGCCGCAGATCCGGCTGGAGCCTCATGATGTCATGGCCAGTCTGGCCCGTCCCCCATGTTGGCTGAAACTTATCTTCTTGAGTCTCCACGGACCCACAGACCTTTTGCCCTCTTGCTGGCTCAGAACCCAGAATCCTTGCCAGTTCTGGTCCACCCCACCTCCCTCCTATCTCCTGACAAACACCACTGGGGCTTCCAGTCCCCAGGCTTCGATCCTCAAGTTCATACCCATGTCCTATGTCAGACCCCGCACCCAAGCCCCCAGGTGGCCGCGGACCCACTTCCAAGCCCTGCTGGGCTCCAGTGATGTCTCACTCCTTCCTCATTCCCCCAGAGACCTTTCTTAGGTCACCTCGAATGCTGGGATAGGGAGGTGCCAGGACAGGCGGAGGGCCACGGCGCTAGGGAGGGTGGCAAAGGGCCCCGTGCACCCACTTTGTTGCGCTCTGAGTTGGTCAGGACGGGGTCCTCGGCTGCCAGGGCGATGCTGCTGGCCGCGATCACCAGGAGAATGCACATCTCGAAGTAGCGCAGGTTCACGATGTAGTGGCAGGCCCTGCGGATCCTGCGGGGAGGGGCAGGGGTGGGGGAGCCGCTGAGCCGGCTGCTTCCCTCCGTCTCCCCCCTGCCCCCCCCCCCACACGCACAGCAGTCTCTTCCAAACAGCCAGGCCCTGGCCAGAGGAAGCCGTAAGGAGAGCAATTGAACTTTCCGGGCACCACCCTTGACGTAAAGCCCCAAGGGGGAAGGTAATCAGATCGTGTGCTGGAGGCCGCAGCACAGGGGCCAAGCTACATTATCTGCAGGCTTGTCTGAGCCCTGGGGAGCAGCCAGCATCGGAATACGCAGGCCCCAGGGTGCCCTCCGGGTATCTCAATGTCTGCCCCCCCAAACTGTATAGAAACTGGGGCAGAGCAAGCAAATCACACGAACCAATACACAGGAAAATAGACCTTTAGCCTAAGATTCCCGAGGAGAGCAGCAACAGGTTCTCACGGTTTCAGGTATTCTGATTGATGGACTAGATCCCAAAACCTGCAGCGGCCTGGCAGTCCTCAGCCCTGGGTCCTGCCTTCCTGGGCCCGGCTGGACACTGCCCACGGGCCCAATGAAAGCCTGCTTCTTACCTTCCCAGACCCACCAGCTGGTCTATGTCAAGGGGCAGAAGAACGCTCGTCTTTCAAAACTCCGTCTTTTCTGAATCTAACCTTCCCCGTTCTTCCCTGCCTCCCCCCCTCATGTCCCTATTTCAAAATCCACAGGGATTCTGGATTGGGCAGGGAGATCAATACTTTAAAAAAAAAGACTTTATTTATTTATTTTTTAAAGAGGGGGGAAGGAGGAAGAAAAAGGGAGAGAAACGTCAATGTGCAAAAACAACTCTCGCACGCTCCCAAGTGGGGACCTGGCCTGCAAACCCAGGCCCGTGCCCTGACCTGGAATTGAACCACTGACCCTTCACCTTGTGGGACAATGCCAGATGCATGGAGCCACACCAGCCAGGGCTGGAACCGATACTCTTAGAGGCCAATGGATGACCTTATCATTCTAGGCTCCATAGTCTCAGCTTTGGAAGATCTGGTAGCTCATCCTGAATACATTCCCTTTTCTCCCCTCACACCCCCTACTGACCAAAGGACAGCTGACAGGTCCATTCCTCATGACATTTCCCACACTTCCCTGTCTTAAATAATTCTTTAGGCTGTGGGCACTGAGTGCAGAGGGCGTGCAGTTCCGTGACCCACTATAACTATCGAGCGCCACATGTCTGCCCACATTCCACGGGGAAGGATCAGGAAGAGGACTGGGCCCCGGCCCAGACCCCGCCTGTTTACTGTGGGGCCGCAGGTCTGAGAGAGACTGGAGGCGACTTACGGGTTGGTGGTGCTGAAGATGAACATGGAGCTGTGGGGCACCATGGCCTTGCCCTCTCGCTTCTCCTTCTTCTGCTTCTTCTGCCCCAGCTCCTCCTCCTCCTCCTCTTTCATCTCCGCCTCCTTCAAGGGGCTGGCCTCGCCGTCAGTCTTGTTGCTGACTGCAAGAGGAACACATCGACATCTTCAGAAACCTCACCACATGGGAGAACGGAGCCCTTCGAGTTCCACGGGAGGTGGAGGGGCTGGGACAGGGCTCCAGGGACCGCCGGGCGGTGTCCACCGGGGTGTTTGTTCGTCACGCCGAGTTCAGCCCCCGTGCCCCTCCTAGCCCTGCGCTCACCCCCTTTTTATGTGGGACAGCCTTTGTCACATACATCACTCTTATCGCCTTTCCCTGGGTGACACAAGGCTGGTTTCAGCTGTGAAGCCTACAAAGTTTAGTTATATCTAAAATCTGAATTCTTTGTGTTTAGTTGCTTAATGAATTTTCACACTGATACCCCCGGAGTGGCAGGTATGACGCTCCCGTGATACAGACGGGATTGTGAAGCGGAGGGAAGCTAGGCACCTTTCCTAAGGTCACACAGCCAACATGGGTCTCCGGTCTAACGCCCCAAATCCTTTCGGTGAAACCACGCTGCAGGGGAAGATTTTTAGAAATCACCCCTCTGTTTGCGGCTGCCTGTGCTTCTTCCAGGCATGGTGGATGCCATGAGACGAGAACGCCATGTTCATGAGAACGTGGGTCCAAGACTACATTCCAGGACTAAGGGGGGAGGGGCCTCGACTGAGTGCAGGTCCTGGGGGCGTACTCCCTGCTTCAGCAGGCAAGTCACAGTGGGGTTCCGTGACAGAGGGGCCGAGGCTAACAGGTGGGGTACGGAGTGCAGGCAAGCTCTTCCACCGATCCATTCAGTGGCTGACTGTACTCTGGAACCTCGTGTAAACAGCAAAGCTCTGAGGTCCTGGCCTGCTGGGACCTTCCACAACATAAGTATCCAGAGGATCCAGAGGCCCCCTGATCGTATGCTCTCGCCCATGACCAAGGCCATGGGCTGGCCCCAGAATGGGAACAGGGGGAGGGTCAAACTTTCTTAGTGTTGTTTCTTATCAAAGAGGGTCCAGACCACTTATTTATCGGAGTATGGAATTAATCAGACTCCAGGAGAGGTTGTGGGCCTGCGGTCCTGAGACCTGACAGAGTCGGCCCCAGGAGCACTGGACTTGGGGGATGTCGCCTGTCCCAGAAGTTCTGGCACTGAGTGTAGAGAAGGTGATGGAACAGAGATGGAACAGGGTAGGAAAGAAACACAGAGGGAGAAGACTGTCCTGTGAAAAGAGGGTTAGAGCAGGGTTAGGGGGTGGGGTTAGGGCAGGGCTGGGGGCAGGGTTAGGGCAGGGCTGTGGGGGGGTCAGTGCAGGTATAGGGGGTTAGAGAAGGAATGGGGTCTCCTGGATGAACGTCTTTGCCTGAGGGAACTAGAGAGAAAAAAACTAAATCTTGGAAAAAACAGTAGATAAGAGTAATAGATTCATGAAATCTTAGGACAGAGGTCACCAGTGTCCTCACTTTACACATGACAGACTGAGGCCTGAAGAAGGACAGAACAGGGCCACGGCCACCAAGCCCTCCTGCCACCTCCACACCATCGGAGGTCCCCTAATTCAAGGTGGCAGAGCACCTCGAAGTCTCAGAAAAGGCCGTCAAATATTGATACAGTCAGTCAACTTGCTGGATATACATCTGGGCACAAATCACACTTGACCTTTCTGCAGACTCTATAGTGGTCACAGGGCCAAAGCCTCAAGGACATTTTATGGGCAAAACATAAGACTGAGGAAATTCTAACTTCTTTTTCCTGCAAATTTGGGATCAAACTCTTGCTATTTTTCTCTGGTTGAGGAATGATTTTATCCCACTGGTGGGGCTTCTCAGCTTTCCTGGGGCGACGGTGCAGCCTCGACTTCCCCCCAGACCAGGTGGCAGGGGGGAGGGGTGACAGGGGACGGAAACTATGTCCTCACTGTGCACTACGGTCGAGTCCACCAAGGGGTCCACGTCGGGGATGGCCACCGCGACGCTGGTGCTCTCGGTGGCAGCCTTGTCCGTGTTGGCCGTGACGCAGGAGAGGTCGGGCTCACTCTGGCTGATGACCCGGCCCACATCCAGCCGCACATCCCCCAGCAACGCCTGCTCACTGCTGCCCTCGGGCTCCCGCTCCGGCGGCGCCTTGCCCACGTCCAGCTCCACGTGGGGCAGGACGAGGGGAGTGTTAGCCTCATCAAGGGCCCCTGCCAGGCCGGCGCCTCTGGCCACCATCAGGCTGTTGGTTCTGTTGACACAGAGGAGAAGCTGTTTCAACACAGGGCGAGGGCAGCCGAGCCCGAGCAGCCCTGCTGGGGGTACAGGGCATCTGCTGCTTCCCACCAGACAGGCAGAGAGGAGCTAAGACCCATGGGCAGAGCCCACCGCCTTATTCCTGTCTGTCCGTCTGTCCATCCACCCACCTACCCATCCGTCCATCCACCTGCCTGTGACCCACTCTAAGGAGACACCCTAAAACAGACTCTGGTTCTCAGGGGAACAGATCCCACTGCCTGTCCTGTCTGCACACACCTCACAAAGTGAGCACTGGCACCCTCCATCTTACAAAGTGAGGTGCAGAGAGGCCTGCCCTCCGGAAGCCCTGCCGCCAGCCCAGCTCTGTGCCTCCGGGGCGTGCCTGGGACTCATTTACCTCCTCAAGTCCAGGCCCCTCTCCTCCTCCTGGATCGTGGGCTCCTTGCCCCCGTGGCCGCCCCTGGGCTCATGGTCCTTGTCCCCCTCGGTGGGCACGCCGTCATCCAGACTCCGTTCCTGGCTGGCAGACCGGCTCTGGGAGGCGGAGGAGGGCTCCTTGCCTTCCATCCGGACTCGGCGGTGCCGGCTGCGCCGCTGGCTCTGCCTGTGCCTGGCCCGGTCCTCGAAGGTCACCACAGTCTCCCCTCCCCCAGCCTCCTGCTGGGTCGGGTCACAGTTCCCATGACAGGCCCTGGCCAGCCAAGGTGGCTCCCGTTTGCGCAGGGACAAGGGGCTTCTCTGGTTGTCCAGGGCGCCGGAGAGGTCCCCTCCATCGCCCTTGAGGGACCCCCCACGGCTGATGCGCTCCTCCTCGCACTTCTCCAAGCCCAGGCCCAGGGCCAGGCCCTCGATGGGCCGGGGTCTCCGGTAGAGGCTCGGGTGGGCGTTGAGTGGGTTGAGGGGGCTCAGCGGGTTGAGGGGGTTGAGGGGGTTCATGGGTGGGGCCTCTTCCTTGTTGAGGGCCTCCTGGCTGGACATCTGCATGTGCCGCCTCAGCTGGCTGGTGCGCTGCTCCCACACCGACATGTGGTGGCGGCGCCTCCGCTCCCTCCTGGCAAAGGGCAAAGGGGAAGGGAAAGGCCTCGGTCAGACCTGACGGCCGAGCGCCGAGGAGGGCAGCCCTCAGCAGCCGTGGGAAAAGCGCAGGACACATGGCAAGAGGGCAGACGGGAGAGCCCAGGACCTGCAGACGGAAAGCACAGAGGGACGCCGGGAGCAGAGGAGGCCACCGCGAGTGGGTGGTGGGTCCAGTGCCTCCCAGGTGGCGGGGCTGCCCATTTGCGTCCTTGCTCTGCAGTAGCTGGGGGAGCAGGTAGGGGTGTGGCCAGCCCGGTTCCCGGTCCCTAGTCTCCAGGGCCTGTGCAGCCCAGCACAAAGGCCTCCGGGCCGCCATGCCCCTGCTCCCATTCGCTTCCAGGGCGAATCAGCCTTTCCCCACTCAGCGCCCACCACTGGCCCCTAGTTCAAGGTCAGAGACCTTTCTTCCGCCAACTCTCCTTCTCCTTTCCCTCTCCAGTTACAGTCTGGGGCTACGAGGGCAGAGAAGGATGAGGGTCAGATGCCCTCACAGGGTGACGACAGTGACAGGCAGACCCACATTACAAAGCGTGTTGGCATCGTCCTTCAGAACTAGGACTGATGTGGGTCTCCTCACAACAGTGGGGAAACCCCCAGAGGACTGTGCCTGGAGGCCACCAGTAGCGCGTCCCCAAACCGCCGCTGGGCATCCCGGCGGAGGCCGAGGGGGGCGGTCTCAGGGCGGCAGGGGCACACGGACGTGACACACAGGCGAGCACGTGGAGCGGGCTCACACGGCGGGAGGCGGCCACCCACTGCTCCACTCGCACGGGCCTGCGCGTGCACAGCTACGAACGGGGGACACTCGCGTGTGCCCACACGCACACCTGCACCGAGGCCCACGCACGGCTGTACGTGACTGCCTGCGTAACAGCCACACCCATGCCAACACGTGCCCACGCGGGCCACACGGACAAGCAAACAGCTCGCAGGGCCACGTACCTTAGACACACTGACACAAGCACGTGTCGAAAGGGACAGCGGGGCACATCCACAAACCACGGGCATGGAACACACCCGCACACACCACCAATGTGCACACCCGGCGCCACTTTGTCCGCAGCAACAACAAAGACACGGCGTCCCCGCGCCCACACGTAACCACTCACAAACACGCAACCCGGTCCACACATACAGGTGGCTGCTGCGCGGCTCCCACATCGACATGTGGTGTCTTCTCCTTCTGTCTCTTCTGGGGAAGAAAAACGGACAGGGTCAGTGCACCCCAGCCTCCAGGACCGGCCACAGCCCCACAGCCACCTGCCGATTTCCGGGCGGAGGTACGGAGTCCCCAGGGTGCCTGGCATGTTCTCCTCGCGCCCGCTGCTCGCTGTGGGCTCCCGACCTTGAACTCCCCGAGGGAGTGACTCGATTCCTTGCTGTGTGCAAACACATGTGGGGCTAGACTTTGAAGCATCCACGCAAAGACGCCAAGGGTCCACTTCCTGTCTCACTGAGCAGACCGGTTCAGACGCTCCACCATCACGCCCCTCGGCACTCACACCCCCACCTCCACACCCTTCCGGAAACTACGCTGGAGATGCTGTCGAGCTGCGTGGAGCCGTGCCTCCTCCAGTCATCTCTAGGACCTCACGTCCCAGTCACCTGGGAGTGGGTCTCCTGCGTCACCCCAATCTCACAGAACATGCAGTGAACCCATGCTCTGCCGTGCATGCCACAGAGGCCACAAAAGTAGCCCACAGCCCAAGGCAGGACCACCACGCCATGGCCACCGTCACAGAATCCAGGATGGGAATGGTGATCCCTGCATTTGTGCGACACAGTGGCCCTGGCCGGAGGCCTTGAAGGTTCGGTCTGTTCTGCTGGGTAAAGCCCAGTATGAACCTTCCTGACCTTGCACGGGGAAAAATCTCTTCTACACACACACACACTGCCATTTCAAATAGGCAAAGCAGGGTCTGAGCAGCAGGGTCTGAGCAGCACGGTGTGGCCATCATCTGCAAAGGTGGACAGGACTCCTGCCAGCTCAGGTCCATACTCAAGTGGAGGAAACACACCTGGGACCCCTGCGGAGAGCCCAGTTCCTGGGCTCACGGGTCCGGTCTGGCCCGACGGACTCTGCCCGGACCTGGAGGTTGGCAAACGATGCTCCTTTCCTGATAAAAAGCGACACCCACCCACGGAGAACATGCTAGACAAACCGGCACTGCTCGCCGGCCACGCCCCGTGTCTGCAGAAGAGCCTGCTCCTCGGTGGGCCTGGGGCAGCAGGGGCAGCGGGTCTGCGCCTCCCTCGTGTCTGGCAGACGCACACGAGCCCCCATGGAACGGATGCAGACACTGCCGAGAAGATGCCGTGAGCTCCCCACCTGCACGCGGCCTCAGCTTCTTCAGCTGCAGGGCAGTGGGGCCCATGTCGGGCAGCCGTGCCCAGAGGCACGGGCACCACGTAGAAATAGAAGCCCACGCTTTACACGGGCAGCACGCACGCCCACTACAAAAAGCATGTTCTACCGCCTGACTGCACGTTCTCACACATTCAAATACTGGAGGCAGAGACATGCATACGAGTGTAAGCACATGAATTCTCTCTTGCACACGCACGCCTGCACACACTCATGTGCACACACACAAGCACACACACACGCACCAGGCAAAACAGAGACCCAACCATAATTCCCACACAAATCAGACACACTTCGGACTCTTTACTTACATACTCACACGTGAAGCCTTCACATACTTCCAACCTCAAGTGTGTGCGGCCTCACACCCCGCCCACGGCCACCTGGCAGACCAGGAGAGGCCGGCCAGTCTTCTTCCCCTTTCAAAAACAGGAGACGGGTTCGGAGACCCAAAGGGGTTCTCTCGCCAAGGTCACAGAACACACGCGTGACAGGACTACGACTAGCACGCTGGCCTTCTGGTTTGTCACATGCTCTTCCCGTTTCTCCAGGGACAGACACATGGCAGCTCCCAGGTGGCAAACACCTGGCCCCGCAGGTCGAACCCAGCCCTCCACCTTGTTTTAGCCAGCCCAGCGCCTTGTTTCTACCCGGCAGCAGCGCCGAGCTCCTTGCCCCTAGAGTTAAGGAGTAGTTACACTTACACAGTCCTAAATTACATTCGGCCCTTTGAAGGAGACTGTGAGGCTGATGTGCCCCCAATAAAAATGAGCCCGACACCTCTGTACCTGGCTTATACTCCTGAGCAGTGCGCACACACCTGACGCAGTTCCTGCACCTATATGTACTACAGCCAGAGCCTGGATCTAGGCACATCCGGGATGGTGACAGCGCCTTCCTCCACCTCCCTGTGCCTGGATACACACGCTGCTCGCTCGGCACCCACCACCCTCTGCCTACCAGCATTTCATTCATTCTTTCCTGCCATAAACAGCGAGCTTCTAGTCTGGGCCGAGCACCTTTCCATCTCATGGCTCCAAACCCACTCTTCCCCCCAGGCTCCCTCACCTCTCCCAGCAACGGGGCCGCCCACTGCTAAGTGGCAGCCAGTCCTACCCCAAGGCATGTGTGGATACCTGTGTGTGTATTTTTAACCCAAATTCACGAGTTCTGGGAAGGCAGGGTAGAAACGACTCCAGGGCCAGAGAATATTCTAGAGAGGAAGGAGTTGTTTTGCTTTTCTGCATCAGTTTTTCGCAAAATTATTTTTGGGGGGGCAGTCCCCCCCTCACAGAGGAGGGGGCCAGAAGCCAGACCTCTACAGTTTTGAAAGGTGGGGGCAGGCAGCCGTGCATGGAAGGGAGGGCTCCGCATGTAACTCTGGATGCCCCTCCAAGGTGAGGGTCCTTGTTCAAAAGCCCCTCACACAAGCACTGAGCCAACCAGGGCTCCTGCCTCACTAGCTTCAAGGAGATGTTGACAGGGCCTGGTGCCACCTTCTGGGGATCTCAGATTCTCTCCGTAGATACCCAGGCTGCTCACACCGTCCTCATGCAGGCCCAGGAGCAACGAGAGGACCTCGTGGTCCTGGAGTCACATCTTGGCCTCTCCCCCGACAGCTCCCTGGAGCATCATGCGGTCCCAAGCCCACTGCCTGCAGCTCTACCTGCAACCACAGGTCCAGGCTGGATCCTTAAAAGGGCCTGTGCACTGACCACTCCATCATCTCCTACTCGCTCCCTAATCCACTCAGTGGGCTTCTGTTCCCAGGGGCCACTCACGCTACCCTTGCAAAGGTCACGTGCAGCTTTCATGCTGCTGAACCTGGCCATCCCCTTGCTGCCCTCATCTTGTGTGATCTCTCGACAGCATTCACCTCTGCCGTCCACTCCCTCCCTCCTGAGCAGTGCCCTCCTGGACGCCACGCTTCCTGGTTCCGTCTCCCACCTCCTGGTGGCTCCCGCCAGTTTCCTCTGCAGGTTTCTCCTTGGCCAGACCTCGAAGCACCAGAGGGCTCTGGGCCTCTGTCCTCAGCGTGTCCCTTCTCTACTTTGATCCTCCCTGTGTCAGGTCACCCTCACCGGTAGCTTAAATACCATCCAACTACAAATGGCTCCCCCGACATCTTTAGTCCAAGCCCTGACTTCTCCTCCAAGCTTTAGACTCATGGAATCGACGGCCCATTCAACATCTCCACTTGGATACCTTACAAGTTTCTCAAATGTAATGTGGCCAGAATGAGCCTCAGCTTTCCCCTGTTCTCCAGGGTATCTCGCACACTGCCGCCATGTGCCCTGTTGCTTAAACCACACACCTCAGCACCTGGGAGACATATTTCTTCTCTTCTGCTGTCCATCTGCCCCCATCCCATTTAATCCACTGTTAGCTCACCCTATTGTGTGGCCCACCGAGAGACAGAAGTGGGTTACTTCTCCTCCACTGGCACCACCCCCCGCTGGGCCGCCATTCATCTACCTTTAGAGCCAACTTCCTGTGTCCTTGCCTCGACCTCGGCCCCCCAAATCCATTCTCTGCCAAGCAGAGTGACCTTTTAAAAGTGTAAATCTTGTGGTATCCATCCTTCCACATTCAACTCTCCCAGGGCTGCAGTTAGAACAAAAACTAAAATCCTCCCCTTGAACCTTTGGTACCTCCCCAGGCTGGCTCCTGCCCATGGCCCTGACCTCTCATTCTGCTCCTCCTTGTCCCCTCCACACCAGCCACTTGCTAGGGAACGCTCTTCCCTCAAACGCCACATGAGGCTTTATACTCATTTCGGTCTCTGTTTAAATGCCGCCTCTTCTGAGAACCCCGCCCAGACTGCCCGAAGGGACTCCATCCAGCTCTCTTCCTCCCCTGCCTTATTGTTCCCCGTGTTTCATAGCGGTGTATCACTGCTGAAAATTATTTGTGTTTATTATCAATCTCGCACACTGAAATAAAACCTCCGAGAGAACAGAGACCCTGTCTTGCTCACTGCTGCGTTCACAGGACATTTCCCAGCACAGAGCAGGTGCCCTTAGACGGCACACGGCACTTGAACCTACAACCTGCCAGCGCAGGTGCGCAGGGGCGTGGGGGGGGGGCTGCTGACTCACTCGATAGAGGGCATGTTGGGCGCGGACATCGGGCTGACCTCCTTGGCCTTCTGCAGTGCGTGCTTCTGGTTGAAGGCCTCCTCTTCCTCCTGCTCATCCTAGACACAAAGAAGAGGTGGGTGTGCCTGGGACCCCCCAAGAAGGCGGGGGGCCCCCTTGCCTCTCCCGAGGAGGAGTCCTAGAGACCAGGAGCAGTGAGGAGCGCAAGGGAAGAGGTGAAAGGAGGCAGAGTGAGGTGAGGTTAGCTGAGAGGAAGTCAAGCGCATGCCCCAGCCCTTGGTGGAACTGGCCACGGCTGTAAAGGTCACAGGTCAGAGCTGAGGACACCTGTCAGATGATCTGTCTGGAAGTGAAGCCCCGAGACCGTGCCTCCCATCTCTCCCCCACACAACTAGGTGCTCCAAGGGCTTCGGTGTTTTCTTTATTGTTCATGTCATAATCCTTCAAAGGGCCCCCTTGAGGGTTCGCAGTGATTGAGCTGTTATATACCATATCCCATGGGAGACCCAGCCTGGTCTCAGGCTCACCAAATTCAGTGAAAGTGAACCAGGCTTCCTGCATGGGTGTGTGGCTCTCCACCTGTCCGGACCCTGCCAGAAGGGGCCAGACAACGCAGACTTCTGGAGAGAGCCCCAAAGGCCAGAGGGCACCCAACGGCACTAAGAACCATCAGCTCCCCACAGACCAATGCTTACCTTGGTCAGCTCCTGGGCGTTGGCCAGATTGTCCACAGCGATGGCCAAGAACACGTTCAGCAGTGTGTCTGGGGTGACAAGTTAAGGACAGGCAAGTAAGAAAAGCAGAAGACTTCAAAGCAAGGGTGAGAGGTATCTCCACATCCTTCCTGCTGGAGACACTAGGAGCTAACCCAGAGTCCCTTAAGCAGGAGCTGTGGGAGGAGGGACAGAGATACCGTGCAACTCTGTTGGGAGGAGAGTCTATTTTCTCTCTTTCCATGTATCATCTCTTTGAACAGGACAAAGAAATACATGAATGAATGAGGCAGCCTTTAAACAGCTGTGCTGTCTACTCATGGCAACATCAAATACAGAATCAGTGAACAATGAGGCAGGCAGGGAACTCCATGGAGGAGCGCACCTCTCCTTCCTGGGAAGCTGGAACTGAAGCCCAGCTGGACCAGTCCTGCCAGTCTGGTCTTAAAGGTGAAGAGGAATGAGAACCCACAACCCCGTCACGGACCAGCTCTCACTAATGGGGTGCGAACTCACCGCTCTCATTCCTCTCGTCCTGGACAGCGTCCATATTTCATTTAATCAGCTGTCCCAGAGCTCACATGACCATGGTGGAACCCATTTCTATTCTACACTCTGACCTCTAATGGCCCAATTCTCCAACTGCCTCTGAGGCCCATGGGTTCTGCAATGAAGAACTGGAGCCTGAGACTCCAGATCTGACTGCATTCGGAGTAAAAGGAAAATCCGGGAGCCGTTGTGACAAACTGGCCTCCCAATTCTGTGACTCGCTGCACAGCTTTCTTCTCACCGTGTTCTCTTCAGTCTACAGTCTGCTCTGGCCCCTGTTTGTTTTCAGAGCAGAAGACCCAAAGGAGCATCTTTTCCCTGTGAGATCACAGAAGATGCAAAACCACAGCTCTCTGTTTTCACTCTGCCAATCCCAGTGCAAGTCCCACTCCCCCTAAAATGCCTAATAGTCATGTAGAAGTCTGTAGTTTATAAGGTGCATTTGAGTAAGTTATCTCATCTGTGACTTTCTGAAGGCCACGCAGCTGGGAGCAGAGTTGCTGGGATTAAAACCCAGTCTTCCTTGATCTAGACCCTCTAGCCAGACGCGGTTTGGGGAAGTAAATGGACTTGGCTTCTCCTCTCCCTTCTAGTTGAGTAATTATTTGATCTTGATCAAATTATTTCTTCTAAGTCTTATAAAGTAAGGACTGGATGAAACAGAGCCAGTCAAGCACCAAGGATGTACAGACTCACGAATAGCATGACATGATTACGTTGGATATGCTCGCTGGCAGTGACCATAATGCTAGTGTGTCAGAGACCTTACTATGTGCGGACTCTGTTCTACATCAACATGGAATGAACTTATTATGAGTGTTACGATCTGCCCACTGCCCTGACTGCGGTGATCTGTGTCCCCTCTTCTTTCCCCAGCTCACAGAATCTCCAACCATTCAATCACGGCTTCATGCGGTATTATTCGTGTGTGCCGTAGACTTGCATGATGCTCTGTCTTCTTCCTATTTATCCTTTACTCAACCAGTGTACACATTCCTGCAGATCAGCATCTTTGCTTCCCTCAGTGCACAGAACTATGTCCATCCTCATCCCGCCCCCAACCCTGCCCCACTCCTGTTCTAACGCCACCATCACCTCCCTCCCCCCTCACCAGCACTTCCGCCACCACCCTCTTCCTCCTCCACCTTCACCACCTTCACCTCCGTCTCCACCAACACCACCCCCTCCCTCCTCAAAGGCTGGTCTGGGCAGGTAGGAAGCACAAGAGGAGCATCTTAAAAAGGATACAGTTTCCAAACAAGGTGAGCACAATGAAGTAGATGGCTGACCACATGCCTGAGCTGACCCCACCCTGGGAGCGGATCCCGTTGTACATCACCTCATTCCAGTCCTCACCTGTCAGGATCTACGCAAAGCAAACAACAGGCAGGTCAGGAACCTGGGCTGGTGGAGCGAACGGGGCCGTGTAAAGGGAAAAGGCCTGGGCCTGAGTCTTCCCCATCTACCCCCCTTGCTTGGCCATTCTGCCAGGGAAGAGAACAGGAAAGTCACCCCCGTGAGTAGCCCCAAACTTTCTGCAGGTCTGGAAGAGGCTCTGAAAAAGGGAAGAAGAGCATTAAAGGGGAAGATTCTGTTCCTCCAGCTACGAAGTCCCTCCCACCTGCACTTTGCCAGGCCTGCAGGCATCATCAGGTCAGGTGTGCTGGCCACTCCCCACCTGGGACCGAGCTGCCAAGGTACAGGTGCTGAGACAGCAGCGTTATGGAAAGAGCTTTGGGGGCGCCAGATCTGGAAACCTCGGTTCTGGCTTAGCCTCCGATTCTGGCTAAGTAGTGTTTTTCTTTGGTCTAAGACATTACTGATTTTGAATTTCCCCCATTATTTATAAAGTCTTTTGCGGGGAGCAGGTGGAAAAAAATACTTCATTAAATGACTATATGTGTTAGAAGGTGCTTCTGGTTTCAGAAAACCGCAAACGCAGTTATGTCACTGAATGTCCTTGACTTAATGTCCTTTACAAAGTCACAATGCAGGGAGAAGGTCGATGAGGTCCCTTGTATTATTAGGAAGAGCAGAGCTACAGAAAGCGGAGGAACTATCGTGGGCATGATGAACCCTCAGCGAGCACACGTATCTCCGTGCCCAGGAGGAGCCTGGAGGGGAAACGTAGGGGTCTCCTAGCATATCAGCGCCATGCAGTGTGTGCCCAGGGACCCCCCCAGGGCATTTTTAACTGCCGGTCGGCCTCATACCTGGAACACAGTCATGATGGCCGCAGGGAAAGTGTCGAAGTTCGCTGAAGGGGTCCCGTCATTAAAGTTGAACCTGAGAAAGAAATTCAGAGGGAAGAACGGAGTGAAAATTGTCACACACCAAGTTTTCCCTTCCCGAGATCATGCCATTTTCATCACTTCTTCCCCCCTTTCTCCACATACGTTCCCCCAGCCATGTCATTTGTAAAGATGGCATTTGAGACTATGACAGATGCACTGTGCTCTTTGAAGGGTGTGGGAAATGAGTTGGGGTTCGGGCTGATCTGGAGGGACAGGGCCCTGTGCCACACAGCTCAGAGACAGCTCCCCGGAAGGAGAACCCTGTACAAGGTGAAAGATGAGAAGCAGAGACACCTGTTCCACAACACACACAGTGGGTGATTTGGGCCATGGACAAGTGCAAACAAGGTAGCGACTGGTGACTGAGTGAGTGACCCTGGCGCTCACAGGCTGAAGCTCTAAGGCTCCTCCAGACGGAAAGCTGGCTGGTGCTTACCTGCCTCCAAACAGCTGCATTCCTAGGAGAGCAAAGACAACGATGAAGAGGAAGAGGAGGAAGAGCAAACTGATGATCGACTTCATAGAACTCATCAAGGAGACCACCAAATTCCGCAGGGATGCCCAGTACCTACAAAACCCAGATGGCGTGAGAGCGCTGAACAGTGACTACCCAGTTATCCCCCAGTCCAGCTGGACTTCTGCCTGGGGGTCTATGAATGAGCTGCGCTGCATCCTTATAGAGAGGAGAGATGGCAGCAACAGGTGGCGCCCCCGCCCCCCGGGCATGTGGCGAGGGACTTGGCACCATGGATGTTCCTTCTGGTTCAATCTTTGGAGGAGGCGGAGGAGCTGCAGAATGCAGTGGGGGGTGCGGTAGGGAAGGGGAACACGTGGTAAGAAGGATGACGGGATGCAAGAAAATACAGTAAGGCAGAGGGAAGCCTCCACTCTCAAAGGTGGTTGGAAAGAGGCCAGAATCGGCTCACTTACTTCGTGATCTTAAATATTCTTAGAAGCCGAAGAGCTCGCAAGACACTGATCCCAAAGGACGTGCCAGGTCTGAAGATTGCCCAGACCACTTCGAAGATGCTGCCCACTGTGACCTAAAGGGCCAAACCCAGCCACAGTCAGAGGAGGGGGAGGAGGAGGGAGGAAGAGGAGAAACAAACATTCTGGTGTTCGGCAGTCAACGGTCCTCACTGGGCTGTGGTGGAATGCAAATTTCTCCCCTCCCCGCAGCCCACTCCAACAGGACCACCTAGTTGTAAAGGCTGCCCAAGAGAGTGTCGGCCTCTCTCCCCACTGCCCTCCGCTCCCCCGCTGACTTGATGCTGTGGGTGGGTCTACTGATGGCTGTTCTGTCCCTGGTGAAAACTACGGGTCACCACTCCTGCACGGATTGGAGAGCTGTAACTGTTCTCACGTTGTAACACCTTGAACAGGCAAGCGGGTGGTCCTCAAGGCAAGGAAACCAATTTGAATTCGTACAGGCTGCATTCCATATAAATACCGCAGGGAGGGACCCCGTTCTCTCGCTGTTCTAGAATTTAGTGCCAACGAGAATGGTCCGGTCACCTGTACGTGTCTTTGGGTCACTCAGGTCCCACACAGCCCAGTGTGACGGTGCTGCTGGGTGTCACAGAATCTGACTGCTGCAGGAAGTAGCAATGTCAGATTAAGAACTGAATTTGTTGTTTTAATTATATATCTGTTGATTGTCTACTATAGAGCCCATACATTGCACTAGGAGAAATGACTGAATCCATCCTCACAGCAATTCGGGAAATATGTGTATAAAGAAAACTAAGGTTAAAATGGGCTTCTGCTGGCTGCTATGCCTGAAAATCGCCCGTCCTCAGAAACATATGTTCCACGTTAAAATGCAGATTGGCTAGTGCTCAAAATCCTTGGCACGTAACTGAAAATCTGGCAGCAAAAAAAGTAGGTTTGGCAGGAGGAGAAGTGGTTCAGGAACCCAAAGTCACGCAGCCCAGTGCTGAGGCTAATGAGCTATGTGAACTTGGACACCTGACCTCTGTGAGGGGGCAGGCTAACCCCTCCCACACACAAGAGTGGACTGGGCTCCTGAGAGCCACACAGGACAGAAATGTACGTGAAAGCACTTGAAAACTGCTAGCGATGGGCACAGTTATATACCGGTATTATTTAGGAAGTGGGCACTGGACTCCCTAAGCTAGGATGTGTGGGTGTGTGTTCACATGCATGTCTGGAAGAGGCTATGTCTTGGTAGTTTTCCCAACTGTAACTGACTAAAAATCCTAAATACATAAGCCGCTCTTTTCTTCACTGAACCACCTTCTAGAATAAAGTCCTTTGTCCTCATCTGCCAGCACCCCCCAGGACAGTAAGTGGTTCAAAACTCTGGCTATGGGGAGCTTTGTCAAATTCACTGAACTACGCACTGAAGTGTGCCCTCTCTGCTGTGGGTGTGATACTTCAGTGAAAACATTAAAAATAAAAGGGCTTAAAAAAACCCCAACAAACCCTAACATGGGCAGGACTCACTCATTCCTGACCTCCTGTTAGCTAATCTTATCTATTCCCCTGGCATAATTTCCGATTTCAGAGCATCACGCTGGGCAAGAGAGCAGGCTGCTTATCTCACTGTGTGGCATATCGACAGAGGCAGGCAGAGGTCGGGCGGGCTGCCGAGCACTTACCCCAAAATCAAAGCAGTTGAAGGAAGAGTGAAAATAAAGGCGAGGCCCCATGCCGTACATCTTCAGGGACATCTCCAAGAGGAAGAGCCCCAGAAACAGAAATTCTGCATAGTCTGAAAGCATCAAAAGCGGGAGCATTGGTTCCCTGGATGCTGCGGGCGCCTGCGCTCCCCAGCCCAACACCCCCACCTGCAGAGGAGCCCTTAATACCACACGTGTGAGGATGGTCAGAGGGCACGGCAGGTTGGCAGGCCGGGCAACACCTAAGGACTCGGAACCCTCTGGCCCAGAAGGAGCCCCAGGCACTCGTGGGTCAACATCGCTCACTTCTACCAGGTGGGTTTGTCACTGCCCTTTAAATGGCTTTGATGAGAGCGCCAGACTGGCCCTCCACACAGCCAGGTGTGACAGCCTCCCGGAGCCCCACTCACACCCACTGGCAGCCTTACCCAGAGGTACCCCTTAAATCCCCTTTTTGGTCTACAGAGGCATCCGTCGCCCTAAGAACTTTTGCCCCAGGACTTTGGTGACCAAAACTCCCTGTGCCGGTGAGCCTCCCCAGAATACTAAGTGGAAGGCTCCAGTTGTAACTCTGCCTTGTTGACTCATCAGCAAAGATTTGTTCATCTGATTCAGCAATGAATGACGGACTGGAATGGTTCTGTGACAATGCCGTCTCCTTGGGGACTTCTCTGGCCTCCCTCACAATGTGAAGTGGGGGGACTCTGGGCAGCCAGAACCACCGCCAGGCCTGGCATGGTGCCCGCCCTGACATTCACACCCCAGTCCAGCTGCCCCGAGCGCCAGCAGTCACAGGTCACTCACAGAGGAGGTGTGTGAGCCACTGGGGCTGGTTGTGATGGACGATGGCCACACAGGCAGTGTTGAGAGCCACAAGGCTCAGCACTATCCAGTAAAACACCTGGGACTTAACCATGTGGCGGATGGAGATGCGCAGAAGCCTTTCCTTGTGCCGGAAATAGGAGGCGCCATCCACTTTTGTGCTTTTGATGCTGGCTCGGGCGAGAGGGGTGCCTGTGGGGGAGAAGTAAGGAGAAACATGAGGCTTTGACAAAGATCACCCTTTGTGTCGAGGGGGCGTCCGAAGGGCAAGGTGGGTGGTGTTAGAGCCGCAGCAAAGTGCCCGCCCGGCTGCAGGCCCCAGGAATAGCCGTGTTCAGCAGTTTCTGCAGCAGAGAAACCTACTCTTCCTCTGGGCTCGTTAGTGAAGATTCCCGGGGCAGACCACCAGCCATACACCGGGTGTCTTGAATCATAACAGGATCGTGTTCAGGCTTGTAACGGCCTGGGCTTCTCTCCGGCCCTCCCTTTTAAATATGCTTCAGGCACCAGAGTGACTCTGCTGCTGTCTTTGTGGCCCAGGCAGCCTGTCACGGCAGTGAACTGCGTGCGTCTCTTCTGCTTTCAAGGACGGAGACCCTTCCCTTTTCCAGAGGAGGAAACATCTGCCATCAGCCAGAATCTCTGAGAGAGCCTGGGACTGAACGCAGTCATGTTAAAGGGCTGTCATTAGGAATTTGTACAGATGTCACAGGAAAGGCTGGAAGGAGAGGAGGCCCTGGAGTTAAACGAATGACTGCGGCTTCTCCAAGGGGGGGTCCTGGGAGCCACAGACCCTCCAGATCTTCTCAGTACACCTCAGAGTGGGATCTCACAGAGGAGGGAACTGGCAAACGGACACATGACGCCACCTGAAGGATCTGGGTGGGACTCTCAGCCCTGAGCATGGCCATGTTTCTGTGAACAGTATCCCCTGGTCCATTTTTTCCTAAGTCAATGTCATGTAGATTACATTCCTTTCTAAATACCGCATTTTGCCGTGTATAATGCACACCCACATTTTTGGCCCAAACTTTCAGGCAAAAAAAAAAAAATCTCATTTTAATTTTTTAATTCAATTATTTATTTATTTATATATTTAGATACAAAACCTATTGTCATTTTCCAGGGTATTATTATTCTGCATACGGTTATCATTATTGCTTTCTAGAGTTAACACGAAAGCATCAATGAAAGAATTAAAACCATTCATAGACATACAGACTTAGCACTGCCCATGTATAACGCACATCCTTATTTTTCCCTCAAAAATTTGAGCAAAAAAACTGCGCATTATACCCAGCAAAATCTGGTTGGAACATCCCTCGGTTCTGGATTCTTTAGATTCTCTGCCTCCCAGTGGTGCTTCTCTAAAGGCGGCCTCTTCCCTTTCCTGGGAGGGTCCGGGAAGGGAAGGACCCAGCTGGCTCCACTCACCCACAGAGGAGATATCGACACAGTGCTCATCGCTGGAGTCTCGGGTCATGGCCTCCGTCCGGCTGCGTTTGATGGTGGCCCTCCGAAGCACTGTGCCAGGACAGGGGTGGGTGGGTGAGAACACGCACAACCACCTCGTTCTGGTCAAAATGAGGGCTGTGGGCCGGAGGCCTCTGTGGCACAGGCGACTGCCCTTAAATACCTGAGCCAGCGTTACAGAAGTGGCAAGTGTCCACAGAGACATGACTGCTGCACTCAGAGGTGCCTCTGAAACACTAGGACTCCGGCATCTGCCCCAGAGCCCGTCCACATGTAGTAGAGGGACGGGCACGCCACCTATGTGCGGGCTCCCAGTAAACGAGGCCACCTCCTGGTAACGAAAGTGGTCCGAGGGACCCCACAGATTTTCGGAGAAGATCCCTTTGTGAGCCATTTGTTGGGTAGTGAAAGTTCTATGGCGCATTATCAATGACACGCCCTGGAACCAAGTTACTCAGGTTATCATCACTCTAAAAAGCATTTAAGTCTGGGGCTCGATCCCCTTCTTTGTAAAGCAGGAGGGATGCTATGACAGAGACTTTGGTTTCAAATCCCAGAGCGCCCCTCTCGCATTTCTTTCTCCTCTTTCGGTCGAGACAGACTGCCACGCTCAGGGGACAATGCAAGTGGAGGGGGGCACTGGTTGGAGCCTTACCTTCCAAGGCTGACGTTCCAGCATTTTTATTTTCTTCGGCAAGCATGACTTCCTCTACATGGAGACAAATGGTTTAGTCAATTATCTGTGAATGGCAAAGTATTTTGCAAAGTGAAAATCCCTCAGAAAGGGCTTTGGCTCCCGGGCAGCAGAGATTGAAGAAAGGGCTCCTGGTCAGTCACAGGCTGTGGCAGCAGAGAGCCATCCCGGTCACCGGGCACTCCAGGGACACATCAGACCAGAAGGAAGTCCTTCGTGAGGGTGCTGGGGGGAAGGTGGGTAAAATTCGGCTGTGTCTGACCCACTGGTTCAGGAGGATTCCCGTGAGAGGTGAGTTGATCTTTTCGACTAAAAGCCCCTGAATAGATAGAAATGAAAATTTCCCATTTCTGGTTTTCCTTCTACCCACCCAGGTTCTTGTCTTTGCTAACCCCTTAAACCATTCCCACCAATGGCTGCAACTTAACACCTACCCGCTCATTCAGGAGCTGAGAGCCAGGGGTGGGCCCTAGCCTGCACCTGTAGACTGGCTCCCCCCACCCCCAGAAGCTGGGGCCATCATGGACATGTCCCCGTGATGCTGGTTTTTGTCCATGATCTGTTCCTGGCACACAGAACTCTTAAAATCCTTGAAATTTATCGTCTTTGTGTGCTAATGAGATGACTCACTGTGGGGGGCGGCAGCGGAAGAATGGGGGCTGGTAACCAGAAACACCAACTTTAGGATTAGAGGGCTTTCCAACTTTCAGCCCCTCTCCCCCTCCCACCTCCTGGGAAGGGAGAGGGGCTGGAGATTAATCAATCACCCATGGCCAATGTTTGATCAATCATGCCAATGTGATGGAACCTTTATAAAACTTAAACAGTGGGGCTCAGGGAACTTCTGGGTTGATGACCACGCCAAAAGACTGAGAGGGTGGCACGTCCCGAGAGGGCATGGCCGTGCCCGCCCCCCAAACTCTGCCCCGCACCTTGATCTGTATCTTTTTTCCCTTTGCTGTTCCCAAGTTGCAGCCTTTACAATAAGCTGGTGTTAGTAAGCTAGTTTTTCCTGGGCTCTGGAAGTTGCTCTAGTGAATCGTCAAACCTGGAACCCCTTAAGTTTGTGGTCAGTGGTGCAGAAATGCAGGTCTCTGGGGGACCCTGCTTGTAGCTGGCCTCTGAAGTGGAGACAGGCTTGTGGGACTGTCTTTAACCTGTGGGGTGTGCCCTAAGTGTGCGGGGCACTTAGTGTGAGAATTCAGTTGAATGGTTGGGTACCGGTGGCTGTCGCAGAATGGCAGCACTGGCTGGTTTTGAACAATGTATTTGGGTGCTGGTGTTTGGAAAAGGACCGCACTGTCCCTTGACCTCCCCAAGAGCAGCCCTGTACCCCAGAGAGGCGTCAACATCGGCAGGACTCGATTTTCTGAGACTTGTCAGGATAAGCCTCACTGGCATCCCTGCAAACTTGCCAACAAAACAGCCCGTGTCTAGTGGGATTCGTAGTCCTGTATTTGCAGAGATGTGGGATGGAGTTGGGGTTCCCACCTTCACTTGGCCCATAATACAACAGTTTACAGACCTGAGCTATCGTTGCTGAGAATTCCAGCTGCCGGGGAAAGCCTGCAGCAGGCCCTATTAAAGGACAGTGACTTAAGCACTTGTAACAAGTTCAAGGACAAGCAGAAGAGGGTCAGCTCATTACCACAATTCCACCTGCATATAAAATTGAGAGTATATAATGAATGTATTTTGCAGGGAGGAGGACAGTTTTAGGCCCAGAGGACACCAGGAAGGATGCCATTATTCCAAATGCTAATGTTTAGCTTTTTCTTTTTTAAGTACAGCCTCCGGCGAAACTCTAAGTTAATAGGCTAAGTGTTATTGGAGGGATGCTCCTTGATGCAGACAAAGAGGGTTTTAAAGTCATTGGACAGCACATTTTGAGGGCATCCTTTAAAATAGGTACTTGTTAAAATACCGCATAGCAACCTGAACGACCTCAGGCAGAGTCCTGTCTGGTGCACGGTGCCCACCCCAGGCTCTGGGGTGGCAGGTCTGAGGACCCCCGCAGCAGCGGGAGTTGTGTGGAGCGGCTGAGTGTGTCTCGGAAGCACTCGAGGGCTCTGGATATGCTGAAACCCCCACTCCCCAATGCCTTTTGCCAAATTCGCTTCCGAACTTGAGAGCGTCTTTCCAGGGAAATGTAACCCATATGTCTCTGATTCACTCATGCTCCATTTGCGAAGGGAAGGGCCAGGAAGCACAAGTTGACGTCGCGGTGCGTCTTTTTTCTTAGAAGGAGGAGAGAGCCGGCTTTGCCAACTGGAAGAAAGTGCCGCTTTGCCACCCTGCCTGGCTGTGGAAAGCAGGGCCACAAGGGGCAGCATCCCGGCTGCCTGGGCCCTGTCGGGGCGGAGGGCTCCCCCTGGCTCTGCTGCCAGCCCACTCACTAGGGTGGTCGGTCAGATGGCTCCTCCACCCAGGACGCCAGTGACAGTTGGGACGGACCTGCTGAGTTACCATTCTGGGAAGGGAGAGGGACAGTCACCGTCACCCCCACACGGGAGCCTCAGAGGAGAAAGGGCGGGAGAAAAGGGCGCATCGAACGCACACGGATTGGCTTCCAGAGGAGGCAGAGAAAGGCAGAGTCCCAAAGAGGGGGTGGTGATTGTTATGTGGCGTTGAAGTGGCATTTTCAATCACACTCTCCCTCACCTGGACAGACAGTCAAAAGTGGACCCCAGAGCTGGCAGAGGCTCTGTGTGTTGTCGGGCAGCAGTGTCATGGAGTTGTCCCCCCACCTCTCTCCCAGTGCAGGGAGGCTCAGGCAACTGGACCTCAAATCACATTCCAAATTTTTCCCGAGAGACCTCACATCAGTGCTACGCTTCCGACCCGGCCCAGAGAAAAGGCAATGACAGTCATGTGTGACTTTCATTTAAAAAAGGTGCACTCTGCTCAGGAAGAAAATGAAGATAAATGAGACCAGTGCAAGCCAACCTTTAAAACAGTGAGGCAAGTAAACGCAGTCTTTTCACTGACAGGGATGGGCGGGTCGCTGTCCCTCATACACAGCCAAGCCACGGTCCAGCTTGAACCTGGCGGCTCTGGGGGTTAATGAAATCATGATGGGTTTGTACCTATGCCCAGGGCTGGGCAAGAATTATTCCTGAGGCAGAGCCACAGCAGGAGGAACTGATGACAAAGCAGGGAAGAGGCAAAACCAGTCCTCACCATCCTCCATTCCCCGACTTCCTGTGCCAGCCTCGCAGCTGGTCCCCCTGCTCCTGGCCTCGTCCTCCTGTTGTCTATTCTCAATGCAGCCACCAAGCACCCCTTCTGGACCTTAAATCGGGGTGTGGCCCCTGGTCAAAACCCTCCAGTGGTTCCTGCCTGACTCGCCCTTACGATGCTGGCCACACCCAATCCCCTCACCTGCTCCACCCACTCCTGACCCTGCAGCACAGCTGGCCACTCCCACATGACAGCCTTGGCATTGGAGTATTCCTCCCCCAGATCTTCCTGTGTCTCACCCCGTCATCTCCTTCAAGAGGCCCCCAAATATGTCTACCCTGACCCCTCTATTTAAAGCTGCAACTTCCCCCGCACCCCACGGCCTTACCTGCACCTGTTTTCATTGGATGTTATCACCTTCTACAAGTTACTTATGGACTGTTTTGCTCGCTGCTGCCTCGCCCAACTAGGGGGTAATGCGCCCCACAAGGGCAGAGCCCTGGCTCATAGCTGTGCCCAGGTGCTGGAACAGGGCCCGCACGACAGAGCCTGCGGTAAACACTTGTGGAGTGAACGGATTCTTGTTACTATTATCGGTATCAGTAGCACAAAACGCCACGAGCCCAAACTCAGCTCCAGGACTGGGTTCCGTCACCTTTTACTCAGTTCACCTTGCTAACGTGCCTGTCTCACGAAGGTGTTTAATAGAAGAACAGGGACAATTAGGTGCCGGATAAAGGAAAGTGGGACCTGTAGGGAACCCCAAAGCGAATGAGGCATCTAGAGCTTCTGTCTGCTCTGGTCTAGGCCGCTTCTTTGCACGGAGGCATTGGGAGTGAGCGGCAGGGACGTCCCTGCTGCCTGTGCAGCCTGCCACCAGCCGCCACGCGCCCCTGCCCCCCCACCAGCCTCACCTGCTTTGTCTATCCAGGCGCGGTACCCGTTCAGCTCCCGCTCAATCTGCTGCTGGCGCCGCAGCTTCATGAAAGCTCTCCGGTTCTCCACTCTTTCTCTCTCTTTGGCAAATTCCCTGGGGACAAGGAGGACATGGTTCACTAGGGTCGAGTAGTGCCTTGACTCAGGGAAAGGGTGAAGCGAGGAGGAGGCAGAGACTGAGCGGGCGCCTCTGGGCACCCCGTTCCCCGCTCTGTGGCCCCAGGCTGCAGCCACGGCCTCCTTCAAAGGTTGCTCAGAAAAGCACCTCGTTCGGCCTTCTCAAGACCCCCCCCATATCATCTCCCTTCCTGCCGGCACTAACACCCTCCACTTGCTCTAATTGGAAAGGTGTTGTCTTAGTCCCACGACAAACTCCGTCTCAAAACACTGTAAGTTCCACGCCCCAGCTACAATAGAGGCTCTTAACCCTCCAACAGGCACGGCTACTCCTTATGCTTTTAAATACAACAGCGATTAATGTACATTGATCACTTATACATCAGCCCCGTATGAAGTTTTTCACTCCCATTAACTCCTGTCATCCTCACAACTGCCCGACGAAGTAAGCACTATTATAAAATTCTTGTTTAACAGATGAAGAAATAAGGCTTCGAGAAGAAAAGTAACTTGCTCTTGGATCTGAACTTGAACCAGAATGCCGTGCTTCCTCTGGGGTTCCATATCCTGTGGTGCTCAAGAGTGGCTGTCAATGAAGACCAGTGACATGGGTGCCTTGCAGGGTTGAGACGCCGTGTGAAAACAGCTGGGAGAGGAGAGTAGGAAAAGGAGCGTGCAGTTGGGCACCCGGACTGCAGGGGGAAGACAGCGGGAAGGTGGGGTGGGCAGAGGGGAGATAGTGGGACAGAGGGAAAGCCAAGGTGAGGGCCAGGGGCAAGACTGAGTCCACGGCCAGGCACAGGGGAGCAGAGCTACTCTATGACACAGACAAGAAAAAGACGAAGCCTCATGGAAAACAAGAGAGAAGAGCCACTCGGGCTGCCTGGCAGAGAGAAACACGACCCAATTCAATGCGTGAGCAAACAGGCAACAAGTAATGTTCATTTGCTAACAGGCTCCGCCAGAAACAGCCCCTCCTGATTCCCTTCCCATCACCACCCCCTTCCAGGCAAGAATCGCCCTTGTGAGAGTAGCACCTCCCGGCCGTGGCTCAGGGGCTTGCCTTGCCCACTGCCCTGGAAGCTGACAAGGGGCTCCTCGTAAACAAAGAGGTGTCCCTAGCCCTGGCTGGTGTAGCTCAGTGGATTGAGCGCAGGCCTGGGAACCAGAGTATTGCGGTTCAATTCCAAGTCAGGGAACATGCCTGGGTTGCAGGCCAGTTCCCAGCAGGGGACACACGAGAGGCAACCATACATTGGTATTTCTCTCCCTCTCCCCTTCCCTTCCTCACTAAAGATAAATAAATAAATAAATAAATAAATAAATAAATAAATAAATAAATAAATAAAGAGGTGCTCATAGAAGGTGAGGGAGTCCAGCACCCACTGTGGGTCCTGCCAGCCACTCCCTCATGGCCAGAGAGGAAGAAACGAGCCAGGGACTGAGGGACATGCCCCAGCCCCCAGGCAGGGCATGGGCAGAGACCACAGAGATGGATTCCTTGGCACAGACACCTTCTAATGCTCACTGCCGGGCTGAGGGCCTGGGTATCAGGCATGATGGAAGGAGAAATTCTCCTGGGTGTGGCTTCAGGTTTGGTGGGTTCTGCTGAGAGTGTTGTGGGGGACAGAAAGGAGGAGGGCCAAAAAGAAGGGTGCCAGGGCCAGTGCGTGGCCAGATGACAATTCCAGTCCTGGGGTTCCCTCCTTTCCTCACTGCCATTTACGGATTTCAGCAGTCAGAAAGGGACAAGGAGCTGGCTGCGTTCATGGTGTCCCCGGCTATCAAAGTTCTTACCTTTGACCGTTTGTCTTCCTTTCATCCCTCCCACCCGATGAGCGTGCTTTTCTGTTGGTTCCGTCTCCAGAGGGACACGAGAGCCACCCTGCCACTTCACCCTCGCTGCCTTGGTCCAGGACCCAGTCCTCTCCTGCCCGGCCCCTCCCAGGACCACCACTGGTCTCTCACCGCCTGCCCCTCTTCCCTCCATGTTCTCCATCTCAGAGTCACTGGACTTACCTTTCTAAAACAAGTGCCAGGCACGATCACTTCCCAACCTAAAATAATAACCTAAAAGAGTGAGCAGTATTTGTGGGACACTTTCTAATTTTTAAGCACCTCGGTATATTTTCCTCAATCGTCACAACCCTCTGCAAAGGGGGCAGAACAGGTATTTTTAGCCTCAATTGGAAAGTTAGGCAACTTGTCCGAGTGCAAGAAACAAAGGCAGCCAGGTGTGGAGCCCAGTGGTGTCTGCTGCAAGGGTCGGAGCTCTTCCCGCCTGCACATCTGCCCAGGGCGGGGGAGGGGGGGGAGGGGCATGTTGGCGGTTGTTCACCCGACCCTTTCATAGGTGCGTACCTCAGTGTTTCAACTACGCTCTGGGGGAATCCAGGGAGCTTTCGAACAAGACCTTGACAAAGAAAGACTTTAAGCAGGCGGCGACCAAAGAACACAATTATCCTTTAGCATCTGGAGTGAGGTCTTTATTTTTCCGCTCAGAAAACCAAATCTAAGGGGGAGTTAAGTGGCCCTTTGAGAAGGCAAGTATCCAAGGCCACCGCCACTAAGAGAAACCATGACCCTCTGATCTTCTCAATTCCATCTGTTCCAACATCCCCCCACCGCACAGCCTCCTCCGCTTGCTGCTAAATGGAGCACACACACCTGACAAGGCCTTCGAAGTCTTCCTCAGTCTGACCTGGACCTTTCTTTTCAAACCTCACCTTCCCGCCCACCCCCTGCACGCCGCCGGCTGCCACCTCGGGGTGCATTCCGACCCCGGCGTGCTCTCGCAGTTCCTGAAGAGGCAGTGCCGGTGGTTCGAGGCTGGGTTCACGCTGCCTCCCGGCCTGAGTCTGTTAGAAGCTTTCTTCGAGGCCAGGCTGGAATGTCACCTCTTCTGTTTCACTTTCTTCTCTGCTCCCAACCCCCGGGCCCCCCAGGCCTTAGTCGTCTGGCCTCCCTTTCCTCTATTCCCTACGGCCGGTGGACCAGTCAAGCCTTTGCGGTGCTGTGTGTGTGACCCTCTCCTTTGTGTGAGCTTTTGGTGAAGACACTGTGTCGTTCTTAACGCTGTGTCCTCCCGGATGAGGCTAGGCCTGGCACAGGGTATATGTTCAATTGATTTTTTTTTTAATTAAAAATATCCAGGCTGACTTGGCGATCACACCAGTAGCACCACCCTGGATCCTGAAGTAAATGCAAGTGCCCTCCCTGCACGGAGCCGAAGCCAGCCAGGTGACTCTGTGGGGACGCCCCAGCAGCCAGGTAACCCCTGGTCACCTCCAGGGCTCTTTGTTGGTTCCACTAAAATCTCTGTGCAATTCGTCCACAAAGTATGCAGTGTGTCTCCTCTTCGCTGGCCCCTGAATGTCCTTGACTTGCGGTGGGACAGGCCAACAAACCCAGGCTAACCTCCCTGTGTACTTGGAAGTTTCCTGGCTCCGGGTCCCACCAGCTGGCTCCCCTGCTCTCCTCGGCCATCGCAGTCCCCCTTTCCTCCCACCCTCCCACCTGGCATCTCCGCTGGGCTCACAAGCCCAGAGCCCGACCAATCTGGCCTGGGCTTTTTAAGAAGCTTCTTGCTACAGGAAGTAAACAAAGAGCATGCACCATGGGGATGGCTCCTCAAGGCAAATGCATCTCAGTGGGGGAAGAGCCGTGCTGGGGACTTCTGCTTTCTGTTTATCTGGTGGCCCTTTTCTGTTTTTCCATTGGGAGCCCAGGGTAGAAAGTCCAGCACCCGTGTCTTTAATGACACCTCTCGCCGCCTCCCTCACTGTCATCATTGTTTGTGCCCTTGGCTCATCTCCCGACTGGTCTGCAGGCTCCACGGGGCCAGGCAGAGCTGATGTCGTATTGTATTCCAACCAGGACCCAGGAAGATGGATCCGAGGCCCAGTACTCTGATTCCATGGATGGTGAAATTAACACACTGAGACCAACTCAGAGTCATCTAACACGTGTGCGAAGTTTTTCATTTACAAAGGACTTTCAGGTCAGTTAGTTCACTTGTATTTGCAAAAGCCCTGGGAGATTTCAGAAAGGCTCTGGTCCATTAGCTGGAATTCAAGCCAATGTCCTCCAATGCCAGGTTAAAGGCAGTTTCCAAGAAGCCTCCACTGTCTTCTATGCCATGTAGATGTCAACCTTTAAGATCTACAAAGGGAATTTATTTTGTTTCAGCCCGGCATGGAGGAAAATAAGGATATAAAAACAAGAGTTTTTGTGTCTTTCCTAAAAGAGCCCCCTTTTAAATAGCAGAGCAGTATGAAAATCCATCACTCTGTGTTGGGGTAACAGAGACCTAGTATGAAACTCACAGCACCGTGAGCGATGCAGCGCTTGGTTTCTGCGTCCTTATCACGGTCACCACTGATTTACATGCGTCCTGCATTCTGGAGAAAACAGGGACAAGCGGGATTTGGACTCCACGACCTGTCAAAAATAACTAACTTATCTAACCTTGGAGTCGACCCACCCACCGCTCCCCGTGAGTACATCCATGGCCAGACCCAGGAAAGGGAGGTGTGTTCCTCCCACTGGTTCCCCCAACTCTGCCCTTTTCCAGAGAACCAAAGTCCTTTCTCCCCTACCCAAAGGATCCTGGGGCTTATTCAGATGACGATGCTTTTGCAAAGGCAAAGCGGATGACCGTTACTGTCCTTATTCAGATGACAACCACTGAAAGACTTCCTACTGAAAGGTAACTCAAGGAGAGGCCTTCCACACAGCTCAGTTTATCCAGCTGCCTTGGACTAAGCAACAGGAGACAATGTGGCTGATAGCAGAAGAGAACTCATGGCCTCTGAGTCCTCTTGGCCTTGGCCTTGGACTGTGGCTTAGGGTAAGAGGTAGGCAATGAGCTATTTTTGCTTGGCTCCATCCAGTGTGCCAGCCCCCACAGATGTAACAGAACTCAAGGTGGGATGCACCTAGACTTCAGAATCCCAAACAGGGGGAGTGGAAATAGAT